TATCATCATACAACAAAGGAGCATAAATTTCATCTCAAAGTTCGGTTTAGACTTTAGAAGCTGTTATATGCACAAACCAAAACATAATTTTTTTGAAGAGACTTGTACTCTTATCAAACTGAGTGAAATCTGCAGCCAGTTAGCGGCTGGGGTGGCGGCGCTGGGTCTACCGGCAGGGGTGGCGGCGGCAGCGAGAAGTCGGGAGTTCGAGGCAGCGGCCTCCTGTCGGGAGTTCGGGAGCGGCGGCCTTTGATATCCTGAGCAGGAGGCGTCCGGCTGCGGCAAATCTGAAACAAAGAACCCCACGTGAGAGGCTTAAGGGCATAATCTCAAATTACTAGTATACCCTCTACTATAGAAAATCTGTTTTATAAATGGCTACCAAGCAGCCTGTTCGGTTGGCTGGTGAATCTCGTAAACGATCATAAATTTTCAGCCGAAACAGTATTTATCTCTCACACCAAACCAGCCAGCAGTAATAATTCACGATCCAGCCACGAACCAGCCAGCCATCCGAACATGCTGCTTTTCCAACCATTGTAAAATGCTACTTTGATTCTCTTGGCCTAGTATTTTCTTGCCACGCCATGGTATGTTTATGGACAAGTATTGCGGGAAGTATATCTTTCAATGCCAATAATAGAGCAGGGGGTGGTAGTTGCAAAATTTGGCAGACCTGCCTGCGTGAAATTGACGACTGATAAAAAAAATGATGACTGTGTCTAACCTAAGCCAGTAAGCCGCCATTTATGAGAAAACAAAAGGACGACAGAGATGCAAACAGAATCTGCAGATTCCATCCCGGGACCCCGGACCCGGGCGGCGCCTCCTGCAGGGACGATCGTGTTGGCCAGCTACTACCCGCCGAAGTGTCCGGTAAGTTGCAAGTGTCATCAGCACCAGCACTCCAGCAGGCAGGCAGGCAGCCAGCCAGCCACCGGCAGCATCACGCCTTAATCGCTGATAAAAGCCTGTGGCGGTTTATATTAAAGCCTTTCAACGTCATCAGAGGGACATCATGCCATCTCTGAAAGGGCGCGCGGCGCGCTTTCCAACGTCCGCAGTGTGGAGCACCGGGGTCGGTTCGATCGTGGGCTCCACAAACGACATGACGTGTCTTGCTATTCAGCTCACAATGGATAGAACCGGACCCGGCTCGATTGCCGGACCCACACACAGAAAAAAAGTGACGGGGCATTTCTTCCCACAATATCTTCGTTGGGCTTCTTTTCCCAGTCTTCTTCCGTTTCGCCGATCTGCTGTGGCTCCCCGTCCGAGTTCGTCGATCCGCCAAATCCGGCCAATCCAAGCCTCGTGCGGCGCCCCTTGCACTTCCCCATCTGCCATTGCCTCGTCTCCCTCATGCGGAGGCCGCCTTCTGCTCGTCGTGCGCCGCCGCCTCTTCGTCATGCGCCGCCCGATCTGCTCCGGAATCACGCATCGCGGGATTCCCTCCCTGGCCCTGCGACGTTGGCGTGCAACAAGGAGGATGAGGCAGCACGAAGGAGGACATCGCGGTGTGGGCGTCCATGGTGTCGTGCGTGGAAGTCGCGTGCTGCGTCACCTTCAGGATCTGCGGCATAGTTTGTCTCTCCCCGTCTAATAGATTTGGTGCTGTGTGATAGTAGCTTTGGGCATTGCATTATTGTTTCTGTATAACATCTAACTGAAGTTATAAATAGAACTTTTCATCGATTTAGGTTCACAGCAACAATACAAAAAACTAAAAATAACAAAGATACATGCAAAGGACATCTACAGATTACATGTTCTAAGGTTGCCGACCACTATTTTTTTGCCATATATGTTCCACTAGATCTGCCCGCAGATGTTTATGAGTCTCTCTGTCATGAATCATATCATTGATCTCTAGAATTTTGATAAATCTATTAATTGGTCCATGGTCAAGTCCTTCAATTGGTCTGGTAGCTCGACCCTCTTCATATGTGGTGTCCAGATGCAACTAACAGGAGTCTCTCTCATCCTCAACTATCATATTATGCAGAATAATACATGCCATCATAATATGTTCTAGCTCTTGCCTATCCCATAGATGTGCTGGATGACGTATAATGGCCCATCGTTTCTGTAGAATCCCAAAAGCACACTCCACATCTTTTCTTGCTCCCTCTTGATGCTGAGCAAAGAGTGTATCCCTTTCAGTAAGAGGTAAAGTAATTGTTTTTACAAATGTTGCCCACTCAGGATAAATTTCATCAGCTAGTTAGTAACCCATATTGTACTCTGAACCATTAATTGTAAATTTAACTTTTGGAGCTCTCCCTTAAAGCACTTGTGTGAACAATGGCGATTGGTTCAACACATTTAGATCATTGTTGGAACCAGGTGTGCCAAAAAAGGCATGCCAAATCTAATGGTCATAGGAGGCAACGGCTTCAAGCATGATAGTGGGTACCTTAAGTCACCACGGGTAAATTGTCCCTTCCATGCAACAGGGCAATTTCCCCATCGCCAATGCATGCAATCTAGACTTCCCAACATCCCTAAAAACCCTCGTGCCTCTCCAACTTGGAGTAACCGTTGGATATCCTCATCATTAGGTCTTCTAAGATATTTCTCCCCATATATGTGTCTAATACCTTGAATAAACTTGATTAGACACTCTAAAGCTATGGTTTCGGTAATTCCAAATGCTTCATCCATAAGGTCTACTGGTGATCTATATGCTAACATTCGGAGGGCAGCCGTGCATTTCTGTAGCGGTGAAAGACCCACGTTACCGAATGCATCTCTCCTTAATTGAAAATACGGGGACAAATTTTCTAATGCTTCCACAATTTGCAAAAATATGTGCTTTCTCATCTGAAACCTTCTACGGAATTGGTACTCAGTGTACAAAGGATTCTCAGCAAAGTATTCAGTAACTAATTTTGCATGGCCAGCTTCATGATCCCTATTAATGTACCTTTGTGAGTTGACGCTGCTGCCTGACCGAGCTTGAAGTTTAGCTTTAATCCGAGCTTGCATTTTTGCCTCAACACGAGCCACCACTGGGTCATTAATTTCCTCCAACATGAGTTTTTGGAGGTCCTCACTAGTGATGGACTGTGTCGGTGCGAAAAGTGACCAACACGTAAATATTTGTAGTTTTGCCATACGTTGTGATCGGATGTGGCCTAGCACTCAATGACACAGGGTTTATACTGGTTCAGGCAACGTGCCCTACGTCCAGTTTGAGTCGGTCGGTGACTTTATTCCTATGTCTAGGTGCTCAAAGTTTGCTGTATGGTTACAAACGAGATGGAGTAAGATGGGGGGTGCAAGAGGTCTGGTCCGACTCTGAACCGAAGGGCCGAGAGAGACGGGAGCTCCTACATGCGCTAAGTATTCGAGCGTGTGCTCTATTGGAATCGTTTGAATCGTAGGTTGTTCAAGTCATTCGTGAATCGACCTGAACTGATCCGTCCTTATTTTGGAGAGAGTGCATCCCCTTTTATAGATGAAGGGGATGGCCTTACAAGAGAGAGTGCGAGAGAAAAAGTGTGTGTGCTACCTAGTCTTGTTGCCTACGCCATCGGGTACGAGGCGGTTTGTCGGCGCCCATAACACTGTTGGTGTTTGGATGCATGTGGTTGGTTCCGCCGTCTTCTTGTGGTATGGCAGATGTCGGCGCCTACCATACTGTAGGATAAATGTCAGCGCCCACAATATTGTTCATGTTCTAACATGTCTGAAAGGTTGCGGTGTATCCTTGTGACACGGCCTGTTAATACTGTCCTGCAGGTCTGCAGGGTACGACCCTTGATATTGCGGTTTGACTGGAGCGCCCTGCCTTACTTGCTCTGTCTGTTTCCTGGGTTTTCACCGAGCGGGCGTCCCTGGTCGGTCATTCCCTAATCGGCTCCGGCCTCCTGGTCGGAGAAGAGCTGTAAGTAGAGGTTCGATGTACTCCCGGTTGGAGAAGCGAGCGTTGTTTCTCCTTGGCTAGGCCTTTCAGTCAGAGATGCGAGCTGGCCAGACCTTCCAGTCGGAGAGGTGGGCCAGAGTCGGAGGCGAGTGTCGATCCTCCTTGGCCAGGCCTTCCAGTCAGAGAGGCGGGCCGGAGTCGGAAGCGAGCGCCGTTCCTCCTTGGCTAGACCTTCTAGTCGGAGAGGCAGGCCGGAGTCGGAAGCGAGCGCCGTTCCCGTTCTCCTTAGCCATTAGCCAGACCTTGACCTTCCGGTCGAAGACTGGATCACCCTTCTGGCCTGTCGTTTTAGGTTTTTGGGGCGACCCAGGAGTTGCGCGTTGTTCGCAACGTCGTCTGTTGGGCCAAGCTCTTTGCTGGGAAGCAGGTCCATGAGGGACCCCGAGTTTATGAACCCGACAGACTGGTTTTCAAAGTCTTTAGCCATTTGTTGGTAGAGGTCTGGTTTGGTGGATGGAGTAGAAGGAAGTGTAGCATATGCGAATGAATGAGTTGTGTGTTAGCTATCCTTCAGATTGTATTTATAGATGGCTTCTCCAGCAGCTAGCTTTTGCAACAGCTAGATTCTCCAACAGCTAGTTTTTCCAACACCTAGATTCTCCAACAGTTAGTTTTTCCAACAGCTAGATTCTGCAACAGCTAGTTGTTGCAACTTTCATGTCAGCTGTGCATTAAATATTTCTCCAACGGCTAGGTCTAAGTTTCATGTCTCCTTTTTTTCAGATCTTGAGAACAAGGAGAGCAGGTGGCACATTGCATAAACAGGTACAAACCAATATTGATATTACCAATAATGAAAAATCGTATATAATAGTAGTGCCACATACATTTAGTACAACACAAATTCCACACACTAATACATAATGGTTGTGCCACATACATTTAGTACAACACAAATTCCACGCACTAATACATAATGGTAGTGCCACATACATTTACTACAACACATACAATACACACTGATCCATAATGATCTGCTTAGTTGTCTGAAGATGGAAATAGTTCCTTGGCTAGAGCTTGTAAGAGTTGTTCATGCAGCTTCAGTATTGCTGGACTCATGTTCGAAGTATCCTTATCCAACTGTTGCATGTAGTTTTTTTATCTTGTCCATTCTAACCTGCTCCTTTGATGCTTCTGCTGTTTTCTCTAATGCACTTGCGCTCTTCAACGTAGCATCGTGAAACAAAACCATGTCTTCATCTGGCTGCGAGCCTAGGGGAGATTGTGGTATGGTCTTTCCCTTTCCTTTTTCTATCATCCTAGCTTTTGCTTTCTTCTGCCCCTCTGGCCACACTTCTTTGAATGTCTCCCCCTCGTCTGTGTCTTGGTTGGAAGATGAAGTGTATGCTCCAGATTCATCTACTTTTGTGCTTTTGTTCTTATCTGAACAATCCATACTAGGTATACTTCTATACCATTTGGGTTCCTTCCTCAGAATCTTCCAGACATATTCAAGTGTAAATGGCTTTTTCTTGTTTTCTCTTTTGAATGCAGCATGTGCTTTGTCCATCAGCATGTCATCAGATTCCCTACTACAATAGGTCATTTGACCATAGACCCCATTGAACTTGGTAACATCTGCATTAATTATTCCCCAATGGCTTTTGAGTTGTCTCTTTGACCTTCTTCTTACACCTTCAGCCAGGCCCGAATTGAACGCTTCTGCTATCTTGTTCCAGTAGGCCTCTCTGCTCTGATATGTGCCATGAATTGGATCTACTGAATGCTTAATCCAAAGACTTATAAGGCGTAGGTTATCGTCCTCAGTGTAATTAATTCTCACAGCCCTCATTCCTTCATCCGGGCTGCTGGCGCTTGAATCTTTCTTTTCTTTATCTTGCTCCAGCTCTCTTATTTACGATTGCGGGGTTGCTGAATCCGAGCCATGTGAAGATGCACCACCAGCAGCACCTACAAACATTTCACCTGGGAAGCCAGAGTTGGGTAGTGGTTGAAAACTTTGATAACTTGGTGAAAACTGGGCATACTGTTGAAGGTTGCCTACACCAGCAAAGGGATTCAAGTTGTGCATGGCATGAGTAGGTTGACTATGTTGGGGATAATGTGAGTGATTGAATGGTGGTGGTGGGGTGGGGAACTAAGTCTGGTTGAAAGTATAGGGTGCGAAATTTGGCATGTGTTGGAAGCTTGTGTTATCTGCTCTTGGATTTCTGGGATCAATGGCGAGCAACCTACCAAAACTTCCCTTCGAGGGCTCCATGTGAACTAAGAAATATGAGTATTGAGTTGTTTTGATTTTGCTTCCCTATTTTTGTGTAGGCTGTTGGGAATAAGGAGGCATGGAAAGATTGCTGGGAGCAGAGGAGGAGGCCACGGGGAATAAGGAGGCAACGGAGGATTGTTGGGAGAAAGGAAGCAGGCTACTGGGCTCCTTTTGAAGAAGCGTTGAGCTGTAGCAAGCAACAAGGAATATTTTTTTAAGGCAACAGTCAAGTGACGCTGCATTTCACTTCACGCTGCATTTCACTTGACCATTGAAATATGAATGCTCATCCGCTTATGGTAGTCGGAGGCATTGGAGCTGTGTCGTGTGTTAAAATGATATATTTTTTTATTGCATAAGAGGTGGGTTCTATACCCTAGAGCTGGTCCTCCATCGAAACAACCCTACAGTATTAAATGCACAGAACCGGGTTCGAGACACACACTGCGGATGCTCTAACACGTACTCCTAGGAGTGACGGCCGGTGATCAAATCATCCGCGACCGGCCGGAACCGCGGCGATGCGGCGCGCCTCCGGTCCACTCGATCGTCCGCGGCCAGGAAAGATGCATGCATGCATGGGGCGCTCCGATCCATGGCAACACATCGCAGCAAGCTAAGCGTGGGAGCTCCTCGTCGTCGCGCTGGCCAGCCCAGCAGTGGGCAGTGGCCACCCCTGCACCCTAAGTTTTTTCTGCAGGTGCTGTAGGAACACGTAGATGCAGCCTGGCGAGATCGGGAGTTGACGAGATGAATGAACTACAGTTTTAAGTAGTCACATTAAATGGCCATGTTTGGTCCTTTTTCCTCCACTTTCCAGGTGCAGAGAAGTGGTTTCAGACGTCAATGCAGGGGCTAGCTAGTTTAATTTGCTTTGCTTGCGGAGATTGATGTATCGAACTAACCGCACACGAGGTTCAACACGTGTAAACACTACGCATAGAAATCGCTCACAACTAGAGACTAAAAAGTGGATACTGTTTTAGTGCGACAATCCAACGTCGGGTTGTCGGTCTGCCTCCGTGCGATCCCGCGTTTCCAAATGCACGACGTTATTTCTTCCCTAAAAATGCCACTCCATGCGGGACCAATACCATCACGTCTCATCATATGCCACCCGTGCAATTTGCTGGTTAGTTTTTAGGCTGATAAACTCGGCTGGTGCTGATTTGTTGTGAGAAAAAAACACTGTTAGATGACTAATAAGCCTTGGCTGAAACCAACAAGCGAACGAGCTGGTAAACTTTAGCACCTAACTTTAGCACCTAATTGAATGCCACAGGGAGAAAATGGAAAGAATTGATTCACCTCGCCTGCATGCGTCGCTAGGCCCGGCAGTACAACACATGAGCAAGAAAAGGAAAGGAGCGAGCGTGAAAAAGCAAAGGCCGCCAATCACCTCGCCTGCATGCACGATAACTGGGCCGCCAATCACACGACAGCGATTGCATCGTCCCCCGGCACAAATCGCCTCCCTCCCGCAGGGTGCCCCCGGCGTCCCTCCATTGGCGCTCGCTCGCATGCTGGGACGTTGACCTCCACCATCAGGTCTCCCACTCTCCCTACAAACAGCAACCGCCGCCCGCTTGTCCCCCAACATCCACGCTGCCCCACTCCTCACCGTTGCGCTTCAAGAACGCCCTGTCGTCGGCGGTCGTGGATGTTGACCTCCAACACCAGACACCGCCGCCCGCTTCTCATCGTCTTGAGCAGGTCGGGGCGTCGCTGCTCAGCTACAAGAGTTTGGGGGAGGTGGTCAGGTGGAGCTGCGGTTGGTGGCAAGGGCTGCCGACCAAATCTAGTAGGACTCAGATCTAATCGGGGCTGGCCCATCTCGTGCACGTCGTTCATCCGCCTATCTCCATGATATTATCGTCTCTGCAGGTAACGTGTTTGATGAAATCCCCCCTGAGTTTTTTGTGTGTCTAAAATCTGATTTTCAGCCTCATGCTTCCTGTGCACTGAACTTGATTTTCTATGAATGCAGCATCGCCCCGTCTAAGCTCAATCCTCCATGGCTTAATTAGCTCTTGGGAGCATGCTGCTGGGATCAGGAGCATCATTCTGTTCAGCACCTGTAAGTCTTGTTTGTAGAACTCATATTCCAAATCCTGCACATTTACATGGTACTATTTTATGGATGGGTTGTAGATGCGTGCTAAGCAGAGATTCATGTGGGCGACATGCTTTGGAATTAAGATGGTATTATCCCGTGTGCTTTGGATTCAGCTAGGACTAACACATTGAAAAGTCATCTAATAGCTGCAGGGTTTGGTTCAGTAAACAAATGATAGATAGAGATAAAAAAAAGAAGCACTTATGTAGTTTTTCATGTCCACGCCCCGACATTGAAGTAGTCTTTTTTATATACAAATTACAAATTGATTATTTTTATTTGTGAAGATGAATACCTGCTCAGACCTGCAACTTACTTTTCTTTGGAGATGAAAATATTTTGGTTTGCATCATTTTTTCATTTTCACATTAAAAGACTTAGTGGTACAATTTGGGTTCACCTACTATTAAAAAAGAGCTTTGGTCCGCTATCTCATACATAAATTCCATTCGCTCATCATAAATTTGTAAATCGACCTACTGCTGCAGGCTAATAATTATCCTACGTGTGAGGATAGATGATTTATTAATTTTTCAGTTACTCATAATTCATAAAGTCGGATATTGCAGTAATTTTTGAATAAATAAACCATATGTATAGATTGAATCATTTCAAAAACAGTCTGAATACTCAGGATGTCACTTAAGTAAATTAAGAAAGCAATTGAACTATCCTTATGATTAGGTACTAAGCACTTTGATCGCATATGTAGTCTGTGCTTCTCTAATACAGAAATGGAGAGGGACACTCCTTTAATTTTGTCAATCTTGTATTTTTGCTAGAGCACAGAAGCACAGGGCTTCAAGTTTTTTATACCAGTTTTAGAGATTGACACCATTCTTCACTTCCCATATTGTCCAAGTTCTAGAGTTCATTGGGAAGAAAGAAAACCTGCATCTTCCACCTGGATTTGTTGCTCGTATCGCAGCACAATCAAACCATAATCTTAGAGATGGCAATACAGTTTTATGAGACTTGCAAAGTGCAACAGTAAGCTTTTGTGCTTATTTGTTATCCAGTGTTTTACTGATTTGCCACACCTGCACTTTTACAGTTATGTTAATCTTTCTCTCTTGGCAACACTGCTGTCATATTCTTTTTTCATTGACTTTCAGATACCTATTTACATCAAATCAAGTGCTCACTCTTGATTGGGAGCAATATTATTTATGTGTCAAAATAGCAACTGACACTACAAGAAATTCCATGATACATGACGATTTACAAGTGATGTATTCTAAAAACATCATGGATCAGAGATGGGTTTAGTTGGACTCCAACAGCCGGTCCATTTACAAGTATCGAGTATATAACAACAGACTTAGGGTTCTGGATCGAGCATCTCCCACCACCAGCCGTCTTTCTCTCGTCTCTCTCTAAAGCGGATTGGGCTCCCTCCGGCGACGGCCCCTCTCCAGCGATGGCCCGCTCCGACGATGGAGCGCCTCTAGTGGCAGAGCCCCCTCTGGTGACAACCCCCTCCTGCAGTGGCCCCGTCTCCGGTGATTGCCCCCTCCAGCGATGGAGTGCCTCCCGTGGCAGAGCCCCCTCCGGTGACTGCCCCCTCCTGCGGTGGCCCCCTCCAGCGATGGAGTACCTCCGGTGGCAGCGTCCCCTCCGGCGGCGGAGTGGCAGAGCCCCCTTCGGTGACGGCCCCCTCCGGCGATGGAGCGTCTCCGGTGGCAGTGTCCCCTTCGGCAACGGAGCGCCTCCAGTGGCACCGCCCTCTCCCGCGCTGGGCTAACTGGCCGAGGGATAACCTATCGTGGATTCAATAGGTTCATGGTTGTATATCGTTTTAGTATTCTTCTAGATCTGAATAATACCAATTTATCTTACCTAATCTGCTTCTCTAATATGCCATCATCTTTCTCAGATTTGACATGCCTTTCTTCTGATTCTTCTTTTTCTGTGTTGTTCGTATTCAAGACCAAGGAGTAGATGGAGATGGAGATAATGCTGCAACAAATGGCGTGCAAGCAGAGTGTCTGTCAAATGGTGATTTTTCACTTTCCTGTATTAATCCCTTTAGATCAACTGTGTTTTAAAAATCTTGTGATGAACATAAGGCGATAGATTTATGCCCGTGGCTATTTGTGATGAACTAATAGTGATAGATTTGGGGTACCTCAATACTTAGAGTGATGAACTGATAGCTTCCTCACCTTGAGGGATACAGCTGCTGCTTGCATAGTCATTTTGGCTCTAGTAAATGAGATTTGGTGCGATGTCACTTTTTCACATTAATCTTCCAATGCATTTATTTTGTACTAGTGCACTGCTATTGACCCTATCTTAACATTACTTATATTTAACACTGCTCCTATTTTACACAACTCCTATTTACCCTGCCGTTAGCATTTGTCAGGAGAAAAACATTTCTTCATACCGGGTAACATTCTTAGATACAGTGAAGCTGTAGTCGTTCATACTTGGGTAATATTTAGATACT